TCTTTATCGACATCTGTAAACGAGCAATTTTGTGATAACTGACATAAACGTGTATCAAAGGCATCTATAGGGTTTCGCTTTGGTTTTGCTTCGCTTGGCGGAAATTGTATTCTTCAAACGCCGTGTTTACGTGCGGAATAAAATAGGCACTGAGTGCTTCGTTTGCTTTGAAAGCAATAGGCCTTTGTCGTAGTCTTTCGCTTCGCCAGTGTCTGAAAGGGTGTTAAAATTGGCTTCCTCGTGGTCACACGAAAATCACAGGGGAGTTACTATTGTATGACTGTAAATTACTATTATTAAATTGCTCCCTTCTTTCAAAATTCGATAAATTATTTTTTTAATAGTCGAGGCCATTTTGTAGTTCGCGCCAATTTCCATAATTGTATACCCTGGATTCCAGAGCCTTCGACAGCAAATAATAAATTGAAACGTCGCGAAGGCTCTGGTTCAACGGGGGAGATTCTGTGATTAAACCGCGCCAATCACAAAACAGAATTAGTGGTTTTTGTTTTGTGATTGGCGCGGTTTGATCAAACAATCTCCCCATTGAACCAGAGCCTTCGCGACGTTTCAATTTATCATTTACTGTCGAAGGCTCTGGAATCCAGGGTAATAATTGTTATAATTAATGCTAAATGTTGAGCCGCTGACATCATCTGATTTGATCACAGACTGGGGTCACAGAACGCCCGGGATAAATTGACTACCAAGACTGGCAGACTGCAAGACAGTTGAAAGCAGTTATTACTGGTAAGATTTTAACATGCTATTCTGTTTCTTCTATGCTTCCAAATTTTTTACGTCTATGTAGGCGATATGCAGAAGGCTAAGTTCAACGGAACCTCCACAGACACAGTATTAGCAAATGGTTAAGAACATAACTAACTTTTCTAATTTCGTAAACTGTCAGTAGACATATATCATGTAAACAAGGTCACCATGCATTAAAAGATTGTTTTATAATTTACCTTGATTGCCATGCAACTTCTACCAACAAGAATATGACATGTATTATGGACATTTTATAACGGCTATATCTTGCTTGTATTGTTTATTGCTACTCCGACAAAAACCAAATCACTATTTAAATATTGTATCAAAATACAATCTCAGCCAATGACGGTAGTAAAGTACAATAATTGTGAGTTTATCGGTCAAATACGACTGAATATCGATCGACGTTATCAGGGGTGGGTGGGTGAAATAATAACGTCGATTCGACGTTATTTGGTGGCAACATGCATGAATATGGACGTGGCCCCTTATTTATACAGTGTTATTGATGACTCAATAACACTGATAATAAGTGTTATTGATTTATACAGTGTTATTGATGACCTGCACAACATATTCTCTATGTCATCTGTGAAATTTTGTTCTTTACTTTGGTTATCAGGAGGTTATCAACGGCTATGCTCTTCATTAATTATAATGATTAATGTATAATGGATTGCTGGTTATTGGTTATGTCCCTGAAGAATATTGGAAACTGTTACCAGTTCTCTTGAAACATTCTCTATCCTAAAAGAAAAACATTTTCAACCCAGAGCCTTCTGGAAACCAGATGTGCAATTAAGTGTGTACTATTTATACATTTGAATTTTGAAGTAGATATGTATACGATCCATAATTAATAATATCTACTGCAGGCTAAACCAAGTATATATCTTTCATTTCTGATTTGTACAGTATTATGTTACTCTTTGCCAAAATGCCAAGGTGATAATAAGGTGCTAACCACACAGGTCTCATCAACTTCCCACATCACCCCCAAGCAATTCTGTTGCTACCCTTTACCGACGGAGCGAATGCCTTGAGCACGCAGGCGTCTTGTTTTCTTTAAATATGCAACATCGGGTACTGTGATTTTCAGTAAAACATCATAATTATCTTTCAAATACAATACTTTCACGCTCCACGATCAGTATACATTAATTGCTTACAGGAGAGGGCCGGGGGTGGGGAGGAAGTGGTGCTAAACCATAGATATCTTATATACACTAGATAATGCATCTAATTATTCTGCAATTCAAAAATTGCTTGTGTGATGTTACTCTGAGTGTATATCCACACCGGGCAGGCCTGAAAAATATGCCTGGCCACGGTGGGATTCGAACTTACGACCTTTGGGATACTAGCCCAATGCTCTGCCAACTGAGCTACGCGGTCAGGTCGGTTCGAGTATGCGATATTTCGGAACTGAGTCTAGTTCCTTCGACATCAGTGTAATCTAATAATCATGAAATTTGCTGTGTTGGTCCGAAATATCGCATACTCGAACCGACCTGACCGCGTAGCTCAGTTGGCAAAGCATTGGGCTAGTATTCCAAAGGTCGTAGGTTCGAATCCCACCGTGGCCAGGCATATTTTTCAGGCCTGCCCGGTGTGGATATACACTCAGAGTAACATCACACAAGCATCTTATTCACCTGAGTACATTACACCAACACAGCAAAATTCAAAAATTGAAGCCGTGAATGCAGACTCAGGATATTCCCATGAAATGTGAAGACTCGTATGTTTTCTATTTCTTAAACAGGGAACTTAAACATTAAGTTAAACCTATTCCAAATACATTTTCAAACTATTCAAATGATGAAAATTATTGTTGTTTTTTAAGCGTTTATTAGCGTGTGGGAAACTCCAACATGGCCGCCATCTATTCAAATGGGAGTAACCGCTGGGATATTCTTGGCTTCAATTTTACTAAAAGAGATGCGCTATCTAGTGTATATAAGATATCTATGTGCTAAACAAAGAAATGACTATATACCATAAACTAAGTATTACTCGGTATTCACAACCAGGTTGGTTATTTATTATTTTCTTTGCGTCTAATCCATTAAGAAAGAACAGAGGTTAACTCTTTGCCTCAAGGGTCAACCTACCAATTCTGAGTTACGCTGACTGAAACCTCATTACGTCTCTGTTTTTGTATCAACCAATCCTCAAGCACTCGTATTTCGTTGTTGATCATGCACGCCTTTATCACGAACGCCTTATGGCCAATCATCATTCTCAGTTTATCAAAAAAACAAAGAAGAAGGAAACAGCTTAATAGGTTATAGGAAGTATTGTTATACAACAGCATTGCGTGTCGTTTGTAATCTAATTATAATAACTTGCGCATACGACCATGCATATGAAGAGAAAGGGAGTTTCCGTCTTATTTAATTAGCATTAACACGCTTTCCGCAACACACTTACACACTGTCCATTCTCACTCAAATTTAAATATGTTATCCAACAGCATTAAGACAAAAATCGGAACAAGACCAACAGATTACCTGACACAGACTGAGTAATTTGCTTTTTATCAAAACATCACTGCTCTTCGAAAATGTTAGCAGCGATATGTCATATAAAACTTCTCCGAGTTCGAGTTCAGAGAAACCTTTTTACCCACATCGTGTTAATCATCTGTTGGCCTTTGTTCCGATTTGCGACTTCATGTTGTTTGAAAAAAAATATTTACCCTGATTGTTTGAAGATCGAAGGCGATGAAAAACAGATGATGATGATGGACATCTTTTGGAGTCAGAGCAGATGACGGCACGATGACGGTTTCGCTGAAAACATTTTCACAGGCGTAGCCAGGTTGGGGTTCCGTTCATTCTTATTAATGAATTAGATGCAAAAGAAATAATAAACAACGAACCTGGACTAATAAAATTGACAGGGAAATATTTAGAAAATAAATAAGATTGTGAACACCGAGTAACACTCATATTTATGGTATATCGTTATTTCTCTGTTTAGCACCCCCACCCCTATTCCACACCCCTTTCTCCTGTAACCAATTAGTTAATGTATAAAATCGTGAAGCATGAAAGTATTGTATTTGAAAGATAATTATGATATTTTACTGATAATCACAGTACCCGATGTTGCATATTTAAAGAGAATCAAACGTGCAAAACAGTTGTATATATTAGAATTACGCCCCCTCCTCCCTTCTCCCCTAATAAATTGGATAGAGAAATTACGGTATGCATGTTCTAGAATGTTTAGGATATATTGTGATAATATTTAAAGCCTGAAAAACAGATTCGCTTGCAAACGTTATGCAATTGCTGTAGTATAAAATAACATCATATTTTAATTAAGTTATTATTGTAATGTTGGCTTGGAAGTGTTCCTGGCGAGGGCTCGACACGGTACATTGCTCAGAATGTTTGGTAAACCCATTGAAATGCACAGAACATAAAAACATCATATATTTTTAAAACACTCCGATGTCATCTTGTTTTACTTCAGCCCTGCTTTCGCACATTTCATAATTTGTTTCTTGTGATAGTATAATGACTCCAAGCAGTTCAAAATGTTTACAGAACTTCCAGAGAAGAAATAATCGATTATCGAGGGATTCAAGTAGGTTTTTAAAAATAAATACAATATTATTTCAATCATAACTCATAGTGGGGCACCTTGTGGCCAGGCTCTCTACATCCGCCTCCTCCCAAACACGCTCCAGCAGTTTGGGAGGGACGCGGAAGTAGAGAGCCTGGCTTGCGAGGTTGGCATGATAGGCATTGGTGCCAAAAAAGCAGCTATATAATTATTAAAGTGTTTATGAAACGAAATTTTTGCCTCCTTTTTTATTGTTTTAACTGTTTTACTGCTCAAATGATGAAGAATAACGTTTACCGTTTATTCGTATCTCATCTCATTCTCAAGTTATCGCACTTTCTATATTTTGAGTTGTGACGTCACTAGTTTGACTCGAAACAGTGGCAATGACAAGAAAATCTGATATTTTGGTGATCATGTAATAAAATAGGTCCTTCCAAGGTTAAGAACGCCATCTTGAATTCATTGTTTTCACCATTGTGGTTGCACCCCCTGCAAATTTACCTTTTGGGAATTCCATTGTGTTTGCACCTCTTGCACTATTGTGTTTCATTATGGCATCGTTAACCTTGGAAGGGTCTATTCAATGAAACTTGTCACATTTAGGGGGTACATCTTGGCTTGTTCAAACGGTTGTCATGGCAACACAATCGTCCCCTGTCTCTTCTCTTCCATTTGCTATATGATCCATTTCCAACGAAATAAATGGCAATTTCTGCAATTTTCGCTTATCACTATAGTACGTATAGGTGTTGTGCAGTTTAAACCGTTAATAACAAGCAAAAGTCCTCTAGCTGTAAGAGGTCTACAGGTAGACGTTTGTGAAAAGGAAGAGAAGAAACTGGGGATTAGTGTGTTGCCATGGCAACCACATGACCTGTCCAAAAATATTCACGTGGATGCACCCATAAGTGTACCAAGTTTCATTGAATTTTATTAAATTATTACCAAGAAGTCAAACTTGTGACGTCACAACTCAAAATATAGAAAGTGCGATAACTTGAGAATGAGATGAAAAATAAAAATAGGCACGCAATGCGTACATGTTGCATGCCGTCTGAAACCTTATCGTGCGATAGCGCTTATAACTTTTGGTATACAACTGGCCTGAAACTTAAAATATTGAGTCAATAAATTTAAATCAATACATTTATTGAAAAATAGCTATTATGTCAAGATAAGAAAGCTTAAGATTCTCACGCGAATAGGCAATGTTTTTTTTATGAGCGACTGTTCACCCTTAGTAGCAAGCGACGTACGGTAATAACAAGGTCAAGGTCACTACTGGTCAAGATCAAAACTACAGTGCATTTTGTAAATAAGGCGAGACTTTTTTTTCTTTTACAAATGTATAACTAGATAATGTTATTTCCTACAAATTTAGCTTTATTGTGGCTTTTTGGGGGTATAGAAACTCGTGGAAATGGTGAATTACTATATTATATAGATTGAAAATAATCTCGACTGTGATTGAAATGATATCGAAGAAGAATGTTGGTCAATAGTATTTTAATACTTTACAAATGTATAACTAGATAATGTTATTTCCTACAAATTTAGCTTTATTGTGGCTTTTTGAAGGTAGCTATAAAAACCCGTGGAAATGGTGAATTACTATATTATATAGATTGAAAATAATCTCGACTGTGATTGACGTGATTGAAATGATATCGAAAAAGAATGCTTGTCAATAGTATTTTATTACTCATTAAAATGAGAATTTTGTTTGATATTTTGAATATATTAATTTCATGTCATTTACAAAATGTACTGTAGTTTTGACGTTTTGCACACAATATAATCAGTGCGAGCACAAAGGCTCCGTTTCAATTTTAGCATATAAAAAATGAGTATTTTGATAGCGTGGCCTTCAATATATTAATGCACCTATCAATGTTAACCCCCAGAGGGGGGGGGGGTTGGGCATATGTGGGGTATTTGATCATCAATTGCATCCCCACCCTGGGGATTTTGATCAGCATTTTGGCCCCAAGTTGGGGCAATTTGAACCAATTAACCTTTATTAATATAGTATTTATTGCAATTTATTGCAAAATAGTGGGGCATTTGACCGATATTTATTGCTCG